TTCGGGAGTCGGTTACGCGAGGGGAAGGTATTAGCACCCCTCACGTCCGTTGTACTCAACGGGAACCTCTTAATTCGAGTTGTGATGGATGTTAGCTAAACTTAATTCTTCTCTTCTCGCTACTAAATGCTAAAGGATACTATAAAGGGATAAAGACACTAGGGGAAAGGGGATGGTTAGAGGATAGGGTGCTCGCCAAGGATTGGGGCCCTTGTGCCTACGTATGCTCATTCGGACGAGAATGAGAAATCAGAGCGTCGTAGTTCAACTTCGGGAAAGGATAGGGGGAAGTGGAAGATGGAGGGAAATGTGCTCGCCAAGATCATCGCAATCTTGTGCCTACGTATCTTACATTCAAGAGTGAATGAAGAATCAGAGCAGTCGTAGTTCGTGGTAACGACCACGAAAGAAACGGGTTTGAATTGGTTTGAAATGGGTACGGATGACGATTACTCGAAGGTTAAGAAAGACTTCTCGTACCCAAGTAGGGCTGGCAATGAACCAAACCAACTCGAAGATAGTTCGAAATTCGACTCGACAATTAAATCGTTGAACTAGGTTCATGAACCAAATGAGTTGAGTATGAGCGAAAAATTAAGTTCGTTAACTAAATGAGCTGAACTTGAACTATACATAGTTCGACTCGTTAGGTTCATGAGTCAACTCGATTACATATGAAAAGAATTATACTGTCTTTAAGATTAGGTTTAAATATTTACTTCAAATCTTAGACAAATTTAATCTTCAATTTATTAGTTTTTGAATTAGACTCTCAAATGTATCTCTTGAAAGTTGTGTAGGTTTTGAATTAGTAGATTTCGAAGATAAAATTAAATTTCAATATGATAACTTTTATTTTATTTTAATATTTTATTTAAAAAATATATATTTATTTAAAATGTCAAATATACTAAAAAACATATATATTTAAAAAAATATTTTTTAAGTTCGTGAACCATGTGAGCTGAACCTAATGAGATGAACCTAACGAGTCGAACCGAACTGTTCGTGAACTTATAACGAGTCGAGTTTGAGCTTAAAAAAAAGTTCGTGTCGAACTCGAACTCGAACTCGAATTCGAACAATTCTTAACGAGTCGAGCCGAGCTGAGGTGAGTTCGACTCGACTCGACTCATTTCCAGCCCTATACCCAAGTAATCGGGAGAGCGAGCCAAAGACTTGGAACACTCTCTTTTTCATCTTGAAGGATAATGTTATGTTTGAAAGGGTGAAGTTGAATTGATGACGACTACTTGAAGCTTAAGAAAGACTTCACAAACCCCAAGTAATCGGGAAAGCGAACCAAAGACTTGGAACACTCTTTTTTTTCATCGTAAAAGAAGGTTGTTTGAATTTGGAATGGTGTATAAAAGGATGAGATTGGTCGGATGACGACTACTTGAAGCTTGAGAAAGACTTCTCGGATCCAAGTAGTTGAGAGAGCGAACCAAAGACTTGGGACACTCTCTTTTTCATCGTAAAAGAAGTTGTTTGAAAGGTGAGTGAAAGGATGAGTAATTGGATAGTTGAATGTTGTCGAGTTGGTTAATATTATTTAAAGGCGTCAATTGCTCACACACGAATGAGATAACTCGCATATAAACAACAGAAAGCAAGCTCAAAGACTTGAACCCACTCTTTACACCTTGAAAAGGATTAAATAGTTGTTAATTGATTGATGGTTTGTTTCGAAAATCCGCTTGACGTTGGATCAAGGGTTTGACTAGTTATCGCGTGCAAAGCGTGTTGAAAATGAAACTATTCAAAAAAGAGACCGACTTGACTTACGCATCAAGGGTCGAGTTGTAATAGGTTGATGGCGAATGCGTATGAGCACTCGACTTACGGGTTGTTTGAAAGTGGCTCGATGATGAATCGAGAATTAGTTTGAAAATAGTTTGAATCCGCTCTAGTCCCTATGGGTGCTCCTAGGAGATAAACTAATAATCAAATAAATGCGAAACATACATCGAAATGGGGAAGGGATACATGTAATTTACACGGGATTGCACGAAATAAAGGGGTCTCATTGTCAGGTAGCCCAAGAGAAAGCCGTGTGTGTGCATTTGTGTCCTAAACTACTCTTTGAGCAAAGTCGGGCACGACTTAAAATTAAGATACCTGCAAATAACCAATGATACAACAGTCCACCAAATCGGCTTTTAGCGGTTTCGATATTTTATTAGGTGTTTTCGATTATGGGTGAATAAATATGAATAAATATGATATGATAATAATAATATGAATAAATAATATGACAATAATATAGTAAGATAATATAATAATAATATCCACAATAATATTTAACGGAAATTAAATTCAATGGTCAATGAATCGAATCGGGACTCAAAAGAATAGGATCTCGTCTTAATCGCAAACATAATGCCGATTAATCAAAGGTAGCCTATCACGATCCCAAAGTACGGAAAATGACCCCAATGGTCATTCCCCATAGATTTGAAATCGAGAAGGTTATCAACTTCGATACGCGACGCTTACGAATAAAAGACTTCATCGATCCAAAAATCGAAATAAAATCGGAGAAAAAAGGTGGTCTCGGATCCTTTGTTTCACGTCAATATTTTGACGGCTAAACGGCGGAAACTTCGTCATCGACCCCAAACATGATAGAAATAAATAAAAAAGAAAGTAAAATAAAAAGAAAATATAATCGAGAGTATGTTCAATATTGATTGAAAATATTAACAAAAGAAATATGTACATAAGATCTTAACATAAATTATCAAAATCATTTTAATAAAAATCATTTATAAAAAACCTTATATTAAAAATCTTAAATGGTAATCAAGAAAGTAGGGTGGGGGTGTGTGTGAAAAAAAAAACACGGGCTTATGAGCAGCATATGGCTCAGCCCAACATCAAACTCAAAGCATCTTTTTAAAAAATAAAAAAAAACTGAAAGAAAAAGAAAAAGAAAAAAAACAGAAACACCCCCTAAGACTCCAACGATGCCAAGTTTCAGGTCAACAACTACCTTCATCAACCAATAATCCGAAAAAAAATAAAAATCACTCAACAAGTATCAACAATGTCTTCAAAAATGGGTCGAAACCCCATCAGCTCAAATCAGAAAACTAACGTCAGTTTGTCCGCAGATTACTTCACATTTTTTTCTCGCTCCACCTACTTTACTCCTTCTGATTCGGTTTTTCGAGCCTCAATATCAATATGGGTTTGCTCGACAGCTTCAAGTTCAAGCTTGAACTCGATTCACTCCTGTTTTGTGATAAGGTCTCTTTCCATTCTTCTATCTGATTTTTTATTTGCAAAACGTGTTATTCTGGTTTGGTTTGAGTTTTAGGGTTTTTGAAGGTTGAAGAGGGTTTACGGGTTATGTATTGGAGGAGGTTTTACGGTAGCGGTTTCGACGGTTGTTGAATCGTTTTTTTTTATTTGATGAAAGTGGAAGGGATTTAGTTTGGTCGGAGAAGGAGGTAATCCATGTGGGTTATGGTTGATGATTTTGGGGTTAACTTGAGTTTTGCTGTTGCTGTTGAGGGGTGGCCGGAAACAGAAGAAAGGTTCGTGAGGGTTAGTTGGAAATGTAGGCAAAGGGACTTCAGATGAGGATGAAAGGTGAAGATGAACGTTGTAGGAGATCTGAGAATATCAAGTTTCTCTTGCTATGTTACTCTATTAAGTTCGAAGAGAAGGTTTATTGGGTTTGTTGTTGAAAGCTGATGAAGGTGAAGTGTTACGAGAAGGAGGAGAAGTCTTGAGAAGGTGGCGGCTAGTTGGAGATTAGGGTTTGGAGGCTCATCCTCAGATCTTTTTTTCTTGACAATTTTTGCTTTCTCTTTATACCAGATGGAGAAGGGTAAAAGTGGAAGGATTGACGTGCTGTGTGGGATGAAAGGGTCCTCAGAAAAGATCCCTACTCAATCTCTTATTTTGTCTGTAGTGAGGTAAATATTTTTAATTGACTTTCATTGCGGTAACTCCCCCTTTCTGCTTTTTACTGTGGTAATTAATGTTCAAGTTTTATTGTTACTCTGCCTGATGGATAATTTGTGGAGCAGGCAAGGTGTGAGCAACATACTCGCAGCTATCATCGCATTTTACTTATCTCAGATGCTTGGAGCTTGGCATGATATAATGTTGTTCTTCGTTTTACCGTCGCAATTCAACAGTTGGAACAAACGTGACAGGTCGAAACGGCACTCATGCCATGGCTTAAATGCAAGTTGGGAGTAATTCACATGGTGAAATCTTGGCTTACAATTGGAAAGGAAGAGTGATAACTATCGACAATTTTGTGCTGCCGTTTTATATGTCGTACAGGTTGGTTTTGCCTTTTGTGAAATTGTTTTAGGTCTGTTATCTGATACCAATACTCCTTGTTTCTGTGAGTTGCAGGTTTAATTTACATGTCAGGTTTTGTTTTGGTGGTGAGTGCAGAAATGACGAGTTTGCCGCGTGAAGTCCAACGCATGAAGCCTGCCATATGCCATGTATGTATTTGTCGTGATATCGATTCTGTCCTGGTTTGTTTTTGATAATGACTTTGGTGCAGCTGTGGTTCATATGGAATTCATCTTTCTACACTGATATAATGACTTTTGTGTAGGTGTAGGTGTAGCTATGGCAAATCGAGTACAAGAAGCAAGTCGAATTTAAGAGTAAACATTTTGCAAACTTCTTGGTAGTTTCACTGGTATTCATCCCTTTCTTAATTGGTTTGCGAGTATGTGACCACTTCTCTTTCAAAATAGCAGCTAAACCGTCATCTCCTTGCTGTATACAGAGTAACAGTCCATTCCCTGAATCTCTTAGGAACGCCAGCCGGATGAGTGCAAAAGTCTGAATGCCCTCAGCACTATGCCTTTTGAGGTAAATCAGATATCAAACTTTGTTCTTGGAATTTTCACACTTCTTTCCTTAAAGTTCTCAAGTCCTTCTTCGTAATTGAATCCTATTGATCCATGTTCCCACATGTTTTGCAGGGCTACTACTTCTTGGTTGTTGAGACCCACCAACTTCTAGTAACCAGGGTTTCTCCTCCTAGAAACATTGTTCTGACTGGGCAACCAAACAGTACTATCCCGTCCCAAAGAGTAACTTTCATAGTCCCCATAAGCACCGCTTCCAGCAAGCTGTGAACCACCATAGCTTCCATAAGTGTCGCCAGCTCCTAAATCGCTTGATCCTCCATAGCCACTTGAATAAGAATGCCCGCGTCCATATCTTCTTCCATCCCTACTGTCATAGCCAAGACCATCAGAGGAGTCTGCTGGAGCAGGAATATATGGTAGAACTGGGAGGAATCCAGAGACAACACCCTCTCTATCAAAAAGGTTTGCTCTCAATCGTGTAAGTATGTGAACAAGAGCATCTTTGGCAACATCAAGGTCTCCTGAAATCTGCACCATTTCATCGTCATCGGAAGCAATTCTAGGAAGATTTTCCTTTGACAGTATGCGAATGTTGGATTTTGTAAGCCTCCTCATCTCAGTTATAATAGATCCTCCTTTACCAATAAGGCAGCCAATTCTTGATGATGATACCAGCAGACGGGTAGTGAAAGAGATTATTCCAGAATATCTTTCATTTTTTCACTGCATCGAGGTTGCAAACGCACAGCTGCTTCTATTGTTGGAGAGAAATTTTCTTCAAAGAACTCTTTTGTTGCAATGGTTATTAAGCATTCATCTCCTTTGGCAGAACTATCAACTTTGATTGTTGCTCCAGATTCCTGCCTTATTTGATTTATTATGCCACCACCTTTCCCTATTACGCCCCCAAGGTTTCCAGTTGGACAAACCAATCGAATTGAAAATTCCATGGGTGACATTTCATCCCTAGGTGCCGAGTACATAGACCGTGGCCAGTCACCAGTGTCACCTTTATATCCCCCATAGGAACCAGCAAGAGGAGCGATCCCCACAATCGGAGGTCCTGCAGTTGGACCCAAGAATGAACCACCACTTTGATATGCTCCGGGAACAGAAGAAGCAAGCAAATGCTGAGTTCGAGAAGGGTTTAGGTGAAGTCGATATGCAATTTGATGCAAAGCCTTTTTCACAACTGCGGCATCCCCAGAAATCTGCACAAGCTCATCATAGCACAAGGCACATAGAGGTATATGTTCATCTTTAAGTATACGAATCTGAGCCCCAGTTTCACTGCGTATGGTATGAACAATCTGCCCACCCTTTCCAAGAACACAACCTATCTGATCGGCCGACACTAGCAGCCTAACAGTAACTTGAGGACCGCCCTCTTCCTCCTGATCACTGTGTAAATCCTCAGCAACCATTCTATCATGAATCTTAAACAAAGCATCTTCAGCAGGCGACGTAAGAATCAGGCTTCAGGTAACGTTCTGTGCATTTCCTCCTCTTTTCCTATGCTTCTTCTTTTCCTCTTTTTGCTGCTATGCTTCTGATGGTTGTCGTTGTTCTTGATTTGTAGGCACAATTTATGAAGTTTGCAGTGGCTTATTGTACATGCTGTTAGCGGTGTTGCTACTGCGGTGCGTAACGGCCTGTAGGTGTGATATGGGATATTGCAGGATGGGAATGTACGGTTGCTGAGAATTATGAAGACATTCGTGAAAGGTTCTGTTATGAAAATGAAGTATTTGGCAGGAAAATATGGAATTATGCTCAACCGTCGGCACAACTTTGGAAGCGGCTTGGGATGCATGCTCTACCATTGGCTTATATGGGCTTTTTACTGCAGGTACCGGTGTACGGCGTGCATGTACGATTGTGCTGGTGGTCTTTGGTTCGATGACAACAAGTTGTACATGCTACATGGCTGTGAAGTTATCATGAATAATTTACTATTTTGTGCAGTTGTGGTTTTTATGCAGGAAACGTGAAATGGTTTGTGGAGTTCATGACAGTGGAATTTTAACGACACAGCTCATTTTCATGGTACCAAATTTAGTTCAGTGAAAACACCTCATCTTCTCTATTTCCCTTCGTCTCGTGTTTTCTCAATACACAGGTGTTTTTTTTTTGTGATTGTTTAGATATTGTTGATGGTAATTACTGAAGTATATTATGGAATTACAGACTATCATATGGCTAATTTCATGCTATGGATTGCAGGTACCAAACCTTTCCCACAAAGACCTTGTTTACTATATAAATTGTTGATCATTTGGGTCTGTAAAGAGTGTTGCTGCAGGCACGTTATGAGCCGCTAGCTGCTGTCATCAACCCAGCCATGGAACCAACAATTCATATATGAGCGCATCATCCTATAGCAAGTTAAGGCAATGCTATGGCTGGCTGACTTCAAATTCTTGCCTTCGTTTCATTTCATGTGTATTTGAACACATTGTACATTATCTCATTTTGTGTAAAAAAAAAGGTCATTTTTTTGTACTGAATTGTATGGAAAACAAATGTTCATGGGCCTATTCTATCTAATTAATTCGAAAGAGACGGTATAGCCTTCTATTTTATGATGGGCATTTGGATAATATAACCTTCTTGAGTGACAAAGTGAGCTTTGAATTTTTGGACAATGTAACATGAATTTTGTATGGGCTTCAACTTGGGCTCAATGAATGTTATGTCACTCCCATATGCAAACCACACATCTTTTCCTTGTAACTCCCATGACACACTCATATTTAAACTTGAACAATGATATACAATCTTGATCACCACTTGAATCCAAATCCCATCCAACATACCCTTTCTCTGATTAGCTTTCAATCTTTACTGAGCTCAGTATTCGTACAAATAAACCTCCAATAACCCTCAATTCAATTTCGACCCCATAACCTCTTGAGTTGGAAACAACATATAAGAAACAAACTATTTTTTAATTTTCTGAACAACTGTCCATGGGCAACAATACAAAAAAAAGAAAAAGATACAGGTAGGGCAAATTCGGGGTATGACAGACATCATACTTGACATCATGAGCTAAACCCTGCAAAATCAGAAGGAACCACCTGCAGAATGTTAGGATCACATGTCAAGACATCTTATAGGACATCTTGTGACAATATCAAGTTTTACCAAAATTGTTGTCAATCATAGAACTAACAAACTCCCCCTTTGGCAAATTTTGGCTAAAACAACCAATTGATCACAAGAGCTCCCAGAGCACAGCAGCAGAAAAACACAGCTCCCCCTTAAACCAAAGTGTCAGAAAAAAACTTGACTCGTCCTCAACAGCAGAAACAGCAGCAGCACAACAAAACTAAAACTCCTCATACTACTTCTCCCCCTTTTATCCATAATTAAAGAAATCATACTAAGGGAAACACATTATCATAGATCAATCTTACAAAACCAATAGTGTTAAGAGTGCAGAAAGAACCCAAAAAAAACAAAACAAGCCAAAGCACATTAAGTGCTAAAATAAAACAATTTCTGAATCAGCAAAAAAACAACCATAATCCAAAGAACACCATAACCAAGCACCATCAATTCTCTTCCTCAGAACCAGAGTTGTCACCTTCATCATCAGTAGTAGACCAAAAAACATGATCACTAGTCCTCTCATCAGAGGTAGAATTCTCCCCATCTTCCTCTTCCTATGCATTAGCAGCCTCCACATCATTTCCTTCATTCTGCTCCATACCTCTAATTAAGGCTTCCAATTTTAGCTTCCTTGCAGTAGTCACACAAATGACTTCTCCTAAATCACTGCAAGTTTCCTTCAACTTTGAGATAAGCCCAGTCTTGGTAGAGGATGTCTTCTCAGCAGATGTCAAGACAATTTCTAGGACATGTCTTCCTGCAAACAACTTATAGTGGAGAGACAGCACAAAATCCCTTTTGCAAGCCACATCATCACTGGAGAGAATACCAGGATACTGGCTCAGAATGATCCCACAAATCAGAGAAGGAAATGCAATAGGCAACTTGACAGCATTGGTAGTAGCATGCTTCACAATCTGATAAAAAATATAACTACCATAGTCAAACTTCACCTTGGTACCAACAGCAAAAATAAACCTTCCTAACCCAACATCAATGGTGGAGGTATGATTGGTAGGCACCCAGTTTGATGCTCCAATCCTATGCAGGATAGCATATTTCACACTCAATTGACCAACAATCAGTTTTCCTTTCAAGGGCCATGTAGTAACTTGGTTAGCAGTGATCACCTTGTATACTTGATTATCAGTCACCTCAAGTTCACTTGCCTCTTGCTCATCCCTTCCTAGATACCTGTTAATCACGTCACTAGAAAACTCAACACATCTCCCTCTGACAAACACCTTCATAAACTCCTTGCTTTTTCTGTCAAAAATGTCCTCAGGGATATTCGCAATGACCTCCTTTACCAGCATATCATAGCACTTAGAAAAACCAACCACAGTCTTCATCAACCCAGCATCCGAAATTAACTTCATGACCTCCTTGATCTCAACAGCATCCTTGCCCAACTCTCTCTCCAGAGTAACTCTTCTTTGGTACACATACTTCCACTTTGCCACATTGTCAATGGAGTGGAAAGAAATATTGTCTAAAGGAGCAGCAGGCATTGTGTCTGTTGCTCTCTTGGTAGCAAATATTCTTACAGGTGTGATGTCTGGGACATCATCCTCTTCAGACGCAGTTCCAGACCTAGCCTTTCTTTTCTTAGAAGCAGGGATAACTATGCTCCATGTTTTAGGAGGTCCAACAACAGTCTTCTTCTTAATGCTCTTAGGAGGAGAGTTATCAATCACAACTTTGCCTCTCCTTTTCTTCAACAACCTCTTGGAAATTCCAAGAGCCACATTCATAATCAATTCATCATCAGATGGAACATTATCAAGATCCAAAACATCATCAGAGACATTATCCTTTTTCTTACTCTGATCAGAATTACTAGTCTTGTTCTCCACACCAGAAATATCAGCATCATCATTAGTATCACTTTCAATCCTCCCTTCCTTAAGCACAGAGTTGGCTAACTTGTGCAGGTTATCAGTATCAGTGCTCTTCTCAGAATGAGAACCCTCAATATCTTTTTCCTCACTTTGGTTAACATCAGAAGTGGGAATAGCATTCATTCGAGACAGTGGGGTAGAGATCCCAGGCATGTTGTGACCTCCATATAAAACCTTAGTCACCAACTTTCTAATGGCTCTATCAACATACATACTAACCTCTTTGGTCCTATTTTCAGAGGTTGAATCAAGAGGGGTATTAGAGGTGTTACCTATAGGAGCCTGTTTGGAACCGATTGCATGCAAGGTTGTGGACTTTGTCAACTCAGCATCGTCACAGGGAACCATGGCTAGTGGAGCCACATCAAGCACATCATCAAACGAGATGCTCACAGGATGAGTCGTTGTCTTAGATTCTGACCTAGCTGACTTGGACGAAGTTTATCCATGTTGTTGAGACATCTTGAGATTTTTGTGTGTGAGGCGATGAGGTTCAAGCAGAGGTTATGTGAATGTATGAGAGATGAAGGAGCATTTGGAATGATAAGTGAGATTAGGGTAGCATGTGGAAATAACTTTTAATGTATTTTGAAATAATAA